CTCAACTGGAACAAACTAAATAAATATGCATCTATTTATCAGACAAAGCTTCAATCTAAAGAAACTTATATTTTGTGTGATTACCGTGGATTCCCTTTTCATTGGTTACACCCAATTCACATGCAATGAATACAATCAACCCTGCTGAAAATAGTGACTAGACCAACATGGATTAAGTAACCTAATTACAAGCCACTGTCCTTCAAGTCAAACCTGATTTCCGTATAAAATGCTTTGCCAGAGTGTAAAAATCATAAATATAAAAACATGAATTTTTCATAGCTGACATCTATAAGGTGCAAAACAAATCGCCAACTACAGGTGAGTGTTAAAATTGCATGCGTTTTGGATTAAAGGTTCAAAGTAGGTCTCCAGTTTAAATACCATTAATTAGCATTCAGCAGTTCAGCTTGTAAGGCTTATGTAAAAAATCGGCAATTAACTGATTAATGGGAATCATTATATAAAAAAAAGATGTACCGTGAACAGGACCAGCCAGGTCCCACAAAAGCAGAGCCTCTCTGACAGTCAAAACATCATCACGCATGTTTGACACTGACGCTTCATAATGACTCTGAGTTCCTTTTTCACAAAAAGCTTTGACCAGGTCTCCCAACACCTCTAAAAGAGGCCCATTACGAAAGCGTCTAAAATGTAAGAATTTCTAAACGAAGCGGGGGGCGACGTGGCCGCTGCTGACCTGCAAATGGTTAGAGGGATTAAGGACGATGCCCGTGACCAGGTTGGCGTGGCCCTGCAGGACATGGACGCACTCCTCCGTGCTGCTGCTGAACACTTTGATCGCATCCCCTGACGGGCACAGCAGGAACCTGGAAGAGTCGGGAAGTCACTTAAACTGGGGGCTGTATGCAGCGTTAAAGAGAGATATATACAACACATCTGTCTCATTTAACAGCCGATAAAAAGTAAAAGAGTTTGGGTATACTGAAACACTTACTGTCACATGTGAATATCATTTATATTTAAGTCGCGCATCAGGACAGCGAGGTAACTGTACGCGTTACCAACCACGTGTTACCAAACACACGTGTCTATTATCTAACAATATTAACCTAAATACAGTTAAATCAAAGAGATCACGAATCAAATAGAATTGATACCAGATATCTAGCGTGTCTTTATAACGGGCTAAACGTGTAGCATAGCGTTTGTAGTGGTTAGGAGGTTTTAGTTAAATTCGCCTTTTTTACTGAGCCGACATAAAATCAGCAAACACGCCGTAATGCAGACCGCTTCCTAAGCATTCTTACTTGGAGTCTAAGGTGAAAACAGCTTTCCTGAAGGTGATCCTGCTCCCGCCGCAGCGTACCACGCGGATTTCGGCCGGTGCCTCCATGATTCCCCCGACTTCACCTCTGACTCCCTCTGCCCACGTGTACTTCCTGTCCTCCACCCGCCTGTGGACATGTACTCACTGCCGCCACCTGCCGGCCCACCTTCAGCGTAGCTGTTGTCAAGTCAAGTGCGCTTCATTGCCACGCTATCCCTGTACAGGTAGACAGTGGTAAAACGTTACCCCAGAATCACGGTGCGGGGAGGGCTTCACAGTACAAAAAGCACAGGGCAGTGCTGAACAGCGGGGCCAGACACATGGGTTCATATAGCTCACATAATGCAATGTATATGTAAACAATAGTAAATAAATACAGCAGTATATAGGGTGCAATAAAGCCAGTTGACTGGCAATTAATACATAAATAATAATTTTAAAGTGACCAGTGCCAGACACAGGGAGTATTAGTGTGGGGTTTTTTCAGGAATGGGTAGGGGGCTAGCCAGATGTTGAGATTAATGTGTTAATTACTTACTTACTTGGTGAATTTAAATATTTTAGAAAGAAGGCAAAATACTGTAAAATTACTGGATGTGTGTTACAACATCCTGGAGAGAAAGGTAAAAATAACAGGCTACAAATTACTGAAGTAATATGTATTAATGCTATATATTGATTGACTATCTTCAAATGTCAGTAAACAAGTGTTTCTGTGTGTAAGTTTATTTGGATTTGCATGCATGTGTTGCTGTTATAAGTTTAAATGCAAATGCCGTAATTGCCTCCATTGATTTTTTTCTTTATAGTGATAAACAGGTGTTACGCCTGGAGATGGGGAAAGAGTGATGATATAAAAGCAGCTTAGAGTACGGCTATATATTAGTTTGAAGTATAATACATATATGGCAGCGCTGGAAAGACAGCTCGAGGAGGATATCGCTGCAGCCATGAGCCGAATGTCGAGTAGGAGGGGCAACGTCGAGTAGGAGGGGCAATGTGGGAGGGGTTTATAACAAGGGGCCTGTTATCATCTGATACCTTAACCCTAACCCTTATTATAACCCCCACCTACCCCTCGTTATAATTAAAAGAAAGGAAATAAACGCTTGAAATATATCATTCTGTGTGTAATAAATCTATATAATATATGGGTTTCACGTTTTGAATTGAATTACTGAAATAATACTTTTCTACGATTCCTGCCTCCTAAGTTTGCATTGCCTTATTACACCTGGATTGCAAAAAGGCTGCTGGTCTAGATGAGACTGAGCCTTATTTTTTAAAGATAATGGCAGATCTGATTGCTGATCCTATTGCTTCTGTTTTTATTTTAATTGTGGTCTCTGTAGTGGGTTAATCCCTAGCTCCTGGAAGTCAGCCTTTGTCCTTCCACTATTAAAAGGTGGTGATCCCTCCTATTTGAATAATTATCACCCCATTTCCAGATTATCGGTCACAGCCAAATTATTTGAATCTTTTGTTAATGCCCAACTTAAAGCATTTTTATCTGATAATAATATTTTATGTCATACTCAGTTTGGTTTTAGACAGGGCCACAGTACCATAACTGCAATAACTTCTGTTACAAATAATATAATTACTGCTCTGGATAACAAAAAAATCATGCACTGCTCTTTTTTATAGATCTAACAAAAGCATTTCACACTGTTGATCATGCTCGTCTTCTGCAAAGATTACAGAGTATAGGATTTAGTGACACTGTATTGAATTGGTTCTCCAATTACGTGACTGGGAGAACACAGTGTGTAGCTATAGATAACTGTAACTCTACCTCACAAATAGTAAAAACTGGTGTGCCTCAAGGTTCTATTTTAGGACCTTTTTATTCTCTATTTATATAAACAATATTAGTTTAGGGTTAAAACCAGCAAAAATACACTTATATGCTGATGATACAATTCTTTACACCACTGCTTTGTCACTGCGAGAAGCAATAGATTCATTACAGTCTACCAATTCGTGTTACGGTTCGGGTGGCAATGGAAAAGTGCCCTAAGGCTGAGTTAAGACACAATACCAGGGAAGCTCTTGTATCTGCGGTCTCATTCTTTCGTGACCATAGGTGAGGGTAGGAATGTAGATCTACCGGTAAACTGATAACTTCTGGTTCAACTCTCTCTTCACCATGACAGACTGGTACAGCGCCTGCTCCACCATTCTGCCTGTTGATCTCCCGCGCCATTCTTCCATCACTCCTCCACTTGAGGCAGTAACTCATCTCCAACCCAGAAGGGGTCTCTGCCCTTCAAAATGTCTCTGCACAGCCCTGATTATTGTTAACTTCAGGAATACAGAGGAGCTTACAGTTGCCATTATACTTCTCAGCTGAGACCACTTTACACATCATCATAAACTCCAGTCTCCTGAGAGTATAGATCATTTCTATAAGGTGGTCACTTTGTATTAATATTCCTTCTAGATCCTTGCAACTAGCTGCCAAGACATTGAATAAAGGTTCATTTTGTCAGTAATTTAAATAACATTTTTAAATGTAATTCTGAAGATGCGACGAGGTGTCATTGTAAAATTAAGGCCAGGATATTCCCTTTGAGATCTTTATCCTTCTATTTTAGTCTTGCATTATGCAAAGGTATGTTCCTCTGCCGTGCTGGAATGTTATGAATCAAAGGACAAAAAAATGATGAGTCAGAGAACAGAAAAAAACAGGAACACATTGTAATATCCATATCATCACTGCAGGTACAATAGAATTATGCAAAGCGGGTGACAAAATGCTGTATTTATTTCTTCCTGGTTTGTAATGCGATGCCTGATAACTGCTCTTCTCTTGACCTAATCGACTCTAATTGTTTCCAGTTGTAACCTTTCCCTGTAGCAGGAAGTATTTCTGTTTTATTTGAAAAACACATTCCTAGAAAAACACACACCCTGTGAATGGTGTCATTTGATATTATTCTGTATTTCTAAAAAGTGTTTCGTATGTATTTTGCTTGGTTGGTTTGTTTTAAAATAAATTATTCATATAGGAAATGTAGCTAATTACTTTCAGAATTGTAGAAATTGTAGAACAGAGTAACACACAGCTCTGGAAAAAACTAAGAGACCACAGCAAACCTTTCAGTTTCACTCTTCATAATTTATGGCTGTGTAAAATATACATTTTTTGCAAACTGTTCTCTGCTTCTCAATGATGAAGGGCTTCTTCCTTGCTTTTTGGGAACCTGATACAAACTGTCCTAGAAGTGCACTTCACAGCACTTGAATGTTTCCCATTGCTTTTGACTTGATTTCGTCCCCCAATTTATGTGACACTGCCGGATAAATTGACGGTCATCTCCGGGATTAGAAAGTTACTTCTGCCCTCTACCTGGCTGGTTTTTGGTCATTTCCAGTGTCTTCTACTTCACCTTGTTCTTGCGTACTGCTGTCTCAGAAACTTTGAACTTGGCAGCAGCCTGCAGTGTAGCCTTCTGACAGCAGAATTAGGAACAAACCAGGATTTAAAAATGCAGATTTTTAAAAAATACAGACAGTCTCTTAATTTCTTCCAGAGCTTTACATAAACAAGTAAATTCGCTTATGACTTGTATGTCGGCTTCTTTGCAACTGAATTCTTAAATTGGGTTTATTAAAACAACAACAACAATAATAACAATAATAATAAGCATTTGTGATATAAACATCGCTGACTTGTCTCTACATCTGCTGCCTCTTTTAAGACGGATGTGTTTGTGTTTGTTTGCTCACGGAGCCTCGTACTGCCCACGTAATGATGAAAGATAGAAGAAGGGAGGCGTAGAAGTAGAGAGGCTACCTGTTACCAGCGGTTAAAGGACCTCGATCAAGTAAGTACTGTACTTATAATCAAATCAGTGTTTTTATTTATTGCGTTAGGTATGATGTATGTGTTTATAGTGGAATCACACTGACATAAGGTATATCCTTTTAATCTTATGTCAGATACAGAAACATAACCCAGAATGTTTCGTTTTCAACATATTACACTTTCGTTATGTTCGGATTATGATTTACTGGTTACAGGTCTGTCGATGACATAGTACAATCAGGGTCTAGAAAATATGGTACGTTGTACTTGGAAAGTGCATTTACAATTATTTTTACACCTAAGATAAATTAGATAAACATGAAATACATCGAAAAAACACGAATTGTACCGAATAACACAGAAAAGCAAAACGTAGCCTACTACATTTCCGTAAAATAAGTTTCTGATATTATTCTGTCCATTTCTCTGTTTGTTATTGTCCTACATGAACGTGTGCAGAATGAGTCAGTGGCAGCAGGTCTACCAGCTACAAGGAAGCTGGCAAGAGCAGGTCAGCAGCTTGTATAATGACAGCTTTCCTATGGAGATTCGCCAAGCGCTGGCCGCCTGGATTGAAGAACAAGACTGGTAAGTTTGGGTTCGTATATATATACGATACATAAATTACATAATTCAATAACAAAGGCAATCAAAGCTCTTTCCAAGTTTAAAACCTGGCTGTACTGTTGTTGTTTAATGACGTAAAATGTATTAAAGAGGCAAAGACGTAATCGTGATTGTGGTTTTCCTTAATCTGTTGTCCCAAAGAGAAAGAGTAACAGTTTTCTAGGTCTGGTACCTGAAGCGTTGTGTACCGTCAAATCAGTCAACTCCGATTTCTCGGCAGATTCCTGTAACTTCTGTCAGGGTTCTGCAGAGATGTTTTGCCTATTCACAAAATTATCATCATTATCATCTGATTCAAGCAAAACGCTAAAGGGGAATCCCTTCCTGGAAATTTTAAATGATAATTATTTATTTATTTTTAAACTGATGTCTCTAGCTGTAATATTTCTTCTCATCCATCTGCCGTCAGTTAATGATTTGTATCTGTAGTATATTTTCTGACCTGGTTTGTCTGGGTGGTTTGTCCCATTTTGCTTACTAGTGTTTAATTATTACTTTGTTATGTTATATTTGCAATTTACTTTATTTTACTTTAATGTCACCAATTACACCAAAATAAATTCCTTGTACTCGGGCTGTATATGGTGAATGAAGTTGATACTCACTATGATTGTGAAAAAATAAGAATTAAAGCCCTTAGATCTTTTATCCATTGTTACTTATATGGTCACACATTTGTGGTAGGGTCCCCTAGCAGTGCTCTTCACTTGCGGATTAACCCCATTAGTGATATGTCTGTGCTCTCTCTGTGCTCCCCATCAGTGATATGTCTGTGCTCTCTCTGTGCTCCCCATCAGTGATATGTCTGTGCTCTCTCTGTGCTCCCCATCAGTGATATGTCTGTGCTCTCTGGACTGTTCTGCTTCCCTCAGGGATGTAGCCTTGACCCAGGAATCGGTGGCAGCCACCCTACTCAGCTTCCTTCTGGCCCAGGTGGAGCAGCTCTGTTCTCAAGAGCAGGACTTCTTACAGAGACACAACTTCAAGCGGATCCTGCAGCAGATGCAGGTTGGCTTGTTCAGGGCTCTGCACCTGCTTGGTGTCTCCTAATCCCCCTGATCAGTGGATAGATTTCCTACAATTTACCACTGTTCTTCTATCCCCAAGTATAGATTTCTGTATGTCGAGGGTCAAGGAGATGTTTTATGCTTTGAATTAACTGGTCTGTGGATGCAATTGGTTGTGTGACTCACTGACACCTACACTATATGGACAAAGGTATTGGGACACACCTCTTAATCATTGAATTCAGGTGTTTCATTCAGACCCTTTGGTTTATAAAATCAAGCACCTAGCCATGCAGTCAGGTTTACAAACATTTATGAAAGAACGGGTCATTCTGAAGAGCTCTGTGGCACATTTGGATGCTACCTTTCCAATAAGTCACTTCATGAAATGTCTTCCCTGCTAGATATTCCACAGTCAGGTGTAAGTATTATTGGAAAGTGGAAGTGTTTAGGAACAACAGAAACTTAGCCATCAAGGGCCAGACGATGTAAAGTAACAGAGCGGGTTTGCCGAGTGCTGCGGCTTATAGTGAATAAAAGTCACTAATGCCCTGTTGACTCAATAACAGCAGAGTTCCTCTGGCATTTACCGCAGCACACAAACTGTGCGCCGGGAGCTTCATGGAATGGGCTTCCATGGCCGAGCAGCTGCATCAAAGCCTCACATTACCAAATGCAATACAAAGCGTCAGATGCAGTGGTGTAAAGCACACCATCACTGGACTCTAGAGCAGTGGAAACATGTTCTGTGGGGTGAAGAATCACGTTTCTCTGTCTGGCAGTCCGATGGACGAATCTGGGTTTGGCGGATACCAGAAGAACGTTACCTGCTTGCCTGCATAGTGCCAACTGTGAAGTTTGGTGGAGGAGGGATAATGGTATGGGGTTGTGTTTCAGGGTTTGGGCTGGGACCCTTAGTTCCAGTGAAGGGAACTCTTAATGCTTCAGCATACCAATGTCATGAAACAGGGCAGCTCGGGCGTGAGGACGCAGCATCGTGCAGGCGAGGAACAGAGGATGTGGTCGACCCACTGGTGGCTTAGAGGACAAATGGGGATTATTGACAAAGAGAAAAACACAAGAAACAGTCAAAAGTAAACAGGGGTAAACAAAGACTGATTACAACAAGGGGCGGGCAGGCAGGTAACAAAGAACACTGCATAAAGCTTCAAACAAACATCAATGACTCCAGGAAGAACAGAACAGGATCAGGGACTTAAATACAAAAATGAAACCGGGAGCTGACCCTGACAACCAAGACATTTTGGACAAATTCTATGCTTCCAACTTTATGGGAACAGTTTGAGGAAAGCCCTTTTCTATTCCAGCATGACTGTGTCCCAGTGCTTGACTGGCCTGCACAAAGCTATGACTCCAACCCCATCAAACACCTTTGGGATGAACTAGAATGGAGATTGCGAGCCAGGCCTTCACATCCAACATCAGTGCCTGACCTCAAAAATGTATGAATGGGCAAAAATTCCCACAGACACACTCCAAACTCTTGTGGAAAGCCTTTCCAGAAGAGTGGCAGCTGTTACAGCTGCAAAGGGGAGACCAACTCCATACTGATGCCTATGGATTTAGAGCAGGATGTCAAGTTACTGTAAGTGTATTCTGCCTATCCACATGAGTGCTTGTTTGTATTTGGCTCCCCCTAGTGGTGGTATTCCCACGGTATTTTCGCGAGATTTCAGTTTGAATAAGGAAGTAAGTGGTATACTGACCGTGTGTCTCCTGTAGCAACCCTGTTGTCGCCTAATCTTGCTCTGTAATTGGTACACACCGTGAGAACAGCATAAATTGTAAAGGTCAGGTGTCCCAACACTTTTGTCCTTATAGTGTACAGTGGTACCTCAGTTCTCAAAGTCATTAAAACTCGAATTTCTTAAAAGTCGAACCAGCCAGAACTACCTAGAACTCGATCTGAATCTCAGAAGTCAAACCGTGAACGCTGACCTAAGATAACTTGTATGCGCGGGGAAATGAGTCACGCAGCACATCTCTCAGCGGAAACAAAGGGTAAAGCTTCAGTCTCAGCTTCTCATTCCCTGTGATAGCATGGTGCATGTTTACACTAGCTGAATACAAATATTTAGACTGTAAAAATATTTAGACAATGATAGACAGTAACAGTAATTATTATTATATAATAAATTACATTTAAAAATAAAGATTTCTTATTAATTATTTTAATATTAATATTAAATAATAAAATTTAATTATAATAATATTGTCATGGGAAGCGGGACTGAATGGAGACAAAGGCGCAGACGTCAGGGTATCGGGGAATACGGGGTTTAATTACAGGTAAGGCAGGCAAAACGCAGGCGGACAATACAATGACTGGACTGGGGAAACAAATTGAAACGCGGACTAAATACAGAGGACTAATGACAACAGCCAACGAGGTTAACGAGGGGGTGTGGCACGCGGAAGGAGCGGACGATCGGGGCAGGACACATTGTTTTTTTTTTTAACTTTTACACATTGTTTGGATACATTTATTTTCTTACTAGGTAAATGTTTTGATAAATGTGCTTAGATGTGTTTAGTACAGTATATGCTCTTCTTGTTTTATCCGGTTAATTTTGTGTTTAAATGCTAAAAAAAAACATATTTAGGTGTAATTTTTTGGGGGGCTGGGAACCAATTTATTGGTTTTCCATGATTTCTTATGGGGAAAATTCGATCACAACTCAAACTTTTTAGGATTCGATCCGGAGTTCTGAACGGATTAAATTCAAGTTCTAAGGTACCACTGTATATGTATGTAACATTCATTGTTTAGCAAAAGTAATGGAGCCATTGTCATTTTCTCACAGGCTTAAAGGCCTTTTATTAGAAGTACTACCCCACAGCCTGTCAAAGGTGTTCATCCCACAGTAAAGAAGGATCCATAAATGCAGTAATGATTAATAAAACAGGCATTTCAATTAAATGTGAGCAGGTGAACATAATAATGCATTCCATGCATTCTATGTGATTGACTTGAGATAATTACATTTCAGTGTAATCACACTATACAATTGTCTTTATGGAACCTGATGTTGCATGAGGTTTTCAGACTTTTGTCTAACCTTCCAATTTGATCTGCAGTGTATGATTATGCTTGTAGTTTAGTCCACTATCATAAAGGCGATTCTTAATTAACTTTAATTGAGGTCAGTGGCATCATCATCATCATCAGTTAATGGCTTAAAATTTTAAGGACAACACAGAGGGTGAAAGGTGTATTTACAGTCATGAACATTCTCCTTAATTCTTCCACAGTCCTCCACTGTCAAATGTTTGTTTCTCCAGAAACAGGTGTATGATGCGCAAATCTCCATCTCAAAAGTTCCATGCACTAACCAAATGTTTTAAATGTTGGTTTTTGTTGCCATGGCCTTGCCTACTGTGTTCTCTAAGATACTGAAGACCGTAAGGTTGGCGAAGCCATCGGGAACCCGCATGTTTGGTCGTCCTGCGTGAAACCATTGCAGTTCTGGGACAGGAATGGTCTTGGTTACTGTTCAGCTCTTGTCCTCAGGGGAAATTCCAGGCCAGTCCATTGCATATGGTCAACATGATCACCTGCTGCCTCAGAGAGGAGAGGCGGATCCTCTGCGCTGCTAACATGTCACCGCAGGTTGGGCCCTCATCGTATTATCATTGTTTGCTAATGTTTTTATCCACAGCATCTTATAATGCACATAGCAGGTTGTTTATCTTTGAAAAGGACTCATTCTCAAATTTATAACAGTAAAGACTGCCCAGGAACTTAGGCCTATTGATTACAAACCTGTATCCTTACCCAGCATGCTCCCCTACAGACTAGCTGATCTTTGAAGCTCGTGCTATGGATTAATAATGAGCAATGCAGACGTCACCATTTGGGTGGTGTTGCCCAGCAGGTGCCAGCTGAGGAGCCCGTCGAGAACATGGTCATCTCCGAAAGGCAGAAAGACATAGACTGCAAAGTGGTGGCCATCAGTACTGCAGTACAGGTGAGAGGCCCCGCCCCCAAATTACCTGGCCAATCTTTATTGTCCTTTCTAAACTTAGCTCCTCCTCTCCCTTTTATCTCCAACAGGAGATCGATCAGGTTGTGAAGCAACTGCAGAACATGCAGGAAGACTTTGAATATCGATATAAAATGATAAAGTCTCGAGGTGGGAATACGTACCTGATAAAGTGGTCACTGAATGTGTATTGCTCTGTTTTCATTTTTTTAAATAGACATAAAGTCTAGCACCCATGCTTTGACAGAAGGAACAGATGGATTGATTGCATGCCTTAGCAGTCTAAAACAGATGGGACTTTACTGTGTTACACAATGACACCCAATGCAGAGATTTATCCCAAACCTTTTCTTTTTCATCTGCAATGCCAGTTGCAGAACAAGGTAAAGCAGGAGTGGAGAAGTGGGAAGTCGATATGCTTCAATATGCGCTCAGTGTACTCGACGAGAAAAGAAAGGTGTGTATCGCTCACAGTCACACCACGGCACGTTCTCATCTTCTCGGTGTGACACATCACATCCTCCCTGCATCGTGCCGACATAAAGGGGAAGTATAACATAAAGGGGAAGTATATTACCGAGCTGCCAAAAAAACCCTTAAAGAAATAATCATCGGTTTTCCATAACGTCCCATGCAGTACAAGGCCATGGTTCTCAGGAAGTGCATGGGCAGGACAGGAAGTCACGGCCTCGCAAGTCAGATTGTTAATGTCGCTCTCACCTGCAGGAGATCATGTCCAGGGTGACAAGCGCCGTCATGGAGATCGGGACGCTGATGACCTCCCAGTTGGCCCCTGAGCTTGCGGCCTGGAAGCGCAGACAGCAGCTCGCCTGCCTCGGTGGGCCGCAGCTGACCGGGGAGGAGCGACTGCAGTGCTGGTACTACCTCACCGCTGCTGCGTGTTCATGCAACCGGACCGGGGGGTAACCACAAAGCCCCATAGGGATTCCTCTGTCTCGCCAGGTTCACGTTTACGCTGCAGAGCCTGTTTCTCCTCAAGCGGCAGCTGGACAGACTGGAGCAGCTGATCCAGAAAGTGACCTATGGGAACGACCCCATCCCTCATCAGAAACCCCAGCTGGACGAGCAGGTCAAGCAGCTGATCTGCAGCCTCATCAAAAGGTAAAGGCAGCAAACCCACCGGAGGTCTCTCCTCACCGGGCTGCTGTGGAGATGAAATCATGTGACCTTCAAAAACAATGGGGAACATTAAGTGCTGTGAAGTGCACTGATAGGACAGTTTGTATCAGGCTCCCAAAAAGCAAGGAACAAGCCCTTCATCAATGAGAAGCAGAGGAGAGTGTGCATAGCCATAAATTAAACTTACCTGACAGTGACTCGTGAATCAGAGGATGTCCTCAAGTGACCTTCAAAAACAATGGGAAACATTAAGTGCAGGTGTAAAGTGCACTGCTAGGACAGAAGTCCCATAAAGCAAGGAAGAAACCCTTCATCAGTGATGAGCAGGGAAGAGCCAGGCTGGAGTTTGCAAAGAAATATTAGTACATTCTACATAGGTGCATGCATACCCATGAATTGAGAAATGAGTGAAACCAAAAATTTTACTCTGGTCTCAGTTTATTCCATAGTTGTACATACATGTATGCATATACAGACAGACAGATAAGGAAATGCAGAATTTGGATGATTATCTAAATGGAGTGTTTCCAGGAGCACCCATTGTCGATGGCAGGGTATTCGGGCCAGGTGACCTGTGTAGATGCTGTGTCACTCCTCTGCAGCTCCTTCGTGGTGGAGAATCAGCCCTGCATGCACTCCCAGCCCCAGAAGCCTCTGGTCATAAAGGTTGGGGTTCACTTTGCCGCCAAGGTCAGGTGAGATGGCCGCCGCGGCTCGCCCGCGACATGCAGCAGGGCTCAGAGCCAGCGTCTGTCCGCATAGAGGTCACACTCATGCTAATGCTCATCTTGAGTTTTGACCCATATGGCAGCAATATGACAGTCACTTCTCCCTGGTTAGGTTTCTGCTTAGGCTACCAGAAGTGGACTATCAGCTAAAAGTTATAACAACGTTTGACAAGTAAGTTAATTAAAATAGACACATTTCACCAGTGATAATTCCTGTATTGTATTGTAAATCTCTTATAAGTTTAACAAAAAGAGGTGGCACTTTGCTTCAATATGATTTTATCGTTAGTCTGCACACAACAAGGACACATTTTGCTGTGCTGCCTTCCTCAGTGTGCTATAGAGCAGGTGCAGTTCCCATTTAAATGACACATCCCTGCGCCACAAGCAATGGTAATGGTTGATAATGGTCTCTTATAGCAAACATACAGGGCATAGAATTCCAGAGTTAATCTTGTTCTTAATTTTAATGCTGTGAAGCCTAATGACCAGTTCTGTTACTAGATTCTCCTGTTAATTAATGCTTTATGTTTAATTTTCTTTTACTTTCTTTAGAGACATCCCTGAAGATATGCTGTGAGTATGAATGTGTGTGTGTGTGTGTGTGTGTGTGTGTATATATATATATATATTTGTGGACACTTGGGTCCCCTTGAGTTCTTTTTCACACACAGATCAAACATTTTGATTGTACTAGCAAAGAAACAAATTTTGTTGGATTTTGTCATGAGATATTTGTTATGATATTAGTTGGAAACAGAGAAAAGTAATTTTCTCTTGCAAACACGCCACATGCAGCTCTTTGGAGAATGTGTGCTGGTTCCAGGTTCACACGGCACATATCTCTGTTCCCCCAGGAATCGGCGGTTCGTTATAACAAACAAACCCAAGGTGATGGATGTGGAGCCTGTGAATGGCTGCCTTGCCGTGGACTTCAGGCACATGGTAATCAGGGTGACATACTGCTCACTGTCTCCTGCTGTGTGAAGTGACATACTGCTCACTGTCTCCTGCTGTGTGAAGTGACATACTGCTCACTGTCTCCTGCTGTATGAAGTCACATACTGCTCACTGTCTCCTGCTGTATGA